CAGTAATACCAAGGAAAACAGGTGATTTCTTCTTCTAAGTCTGTGATGTTGTCCCTATAATAGCTTCTGTATATACATATAGCAGTGTGCCATCGGAAAATACTGACAAGTTTTTGGGAAGATATGCACATAAGAACTATGCTCTCAGGGGAATAGTTTTTCCGCTTTTGCTGTGTTGTCTAACATAAATTTTGGTCAGGAGCTACAAATGGAAACAGTGAATCTCTTGACAAAGTAAAGGAGCTACTTAGTTAAGTCAAAGGTGACATAGCTAAGAATGGGAACAAATTAATACTGGGCCATGTAAACAAGGTTTCAGCAGTAAAATCAGTATTTTATCCAAGAAAATGCATCTCTTAAAAGTGTGTGGTGGAAGCTTCATCACCTCTTGAGGAAATGTGCTGGTCTAAAGCAAAAGTATTGATGTGTCTCAGGGACAGCTGTTCTCTGTACAAGAAAAGGACTGGGTCACTTCTTAGAAATATTTCTGTGTCTTAAACATTATGCTCAAAAAGTAGAGTGCTTTTTCTCTCAGTAACTCCATGGTTCCCTACAAAGGGAAAGATAGAATAGAATATTTTCCATTGGAAGGAACCTACAATGATAATCTAGTCCAACTGCCTGATCAGTTCAGGGCTGACCAAAAGTTCAAGCATGTTGTTAAGGGCATTGTCCAAATGCCTCTTAAACACTGACAGGCTTGAGGCATCAACCACCTCTCTAGGAAGTCTGTTCCAGTGTTTGACCACACTCTCAGTAAAGAAATGCTTTCTAATGTCCAGTCTAAACCTCCCCTGACACAGCTTTGAACCATTCCAATGCATCCTATCACTGGATCCCAGGGAGAAGAGCTCAGCACCTCCCTCTCCATTTTCCCTCCTCAGGAAGCTGTAGAGAGCAATGAGGTTGCCCCTCAGTGTCCTTTTCTCCAAACTAGACAAGTGCAAAGTCGTTAGCTGCTCCTCATAGGACATTTCCTTCCAGCCCTTTCACCAGCTTTGTTGCCCTCCTCTGGATGCATCCAAGGACCTTAACATCCTTCTTAAATTGTGGGGCCCGGAACTGCACACTGTACTTGAGGTGAGGCTGCACTGACGCTGAATCCAGTGGGATAATCCCCTCTTTTGACTGTCTGGTTATACTGTGTTTGATGCACCCCAGGATGTGTTTTGCCCTCTTGGCTTCCAGAGCATACTGCTGACTCATATTAAGCCTGCTGTCAACCAGCACAAGCACGTGGGATAATGTCTTATAGACATCATGATGGACATTATATCCAGAGCTCAGCTGAAATGAATGATTTGTATATATAATATCAGAGGTGTTTTTTACTGCAGTTGAAGTGCCATAAATTTCATCTCTCTGGTGAATTTCTCCTCATGGAGCAACTTTTACAGTCTATATAGATGCACATTTTGCCCAGATTCCAACCGTTTCCAAACCTGAATAGTTGGGGTTTTTGCTAGTATTTAATAAGTTTCAGAGTTAACTATGTTGAACAATGATATAAGAATCATGTAAGAACACCAGTGCATTTGAGCAGAATGTTAAGGAAGCTTAACATTTACTTAAGCTATTGAGTTAGAAAAATACAAATGCAAATACCATATGAAGTGTCTGGCTCTTAGAACAGCAATGAAAAGGATTTCGTATAAGCTAACATAAAAAGACTACTCTTTTCTGCCTGAATTTACTTCTTGAATCCAAATTGTTTTGTATTTATAGTGCATGTTTTGTAATTTCAGTATATTTTTAGGCCAGTAGGAGCAGGTTTCTTTAAACAGCAGATTTCTCTTGTATTCAGTGTTCAACTTCACTCTTTTAACAAGTACATTTGTTAGATTCCAAATGAGATGTAATTTTTGAACTGTGTTTTATGGTGAACTCAAAGGTAAAGCAAATGAAGCAGTTCAGAGGTCAGGTTTAATTCCATGCAAAGAGACTTTTCAGATATATTAAATAATTTGTTTTTCATATTATTCATGTTCATACACCTGACTTCTGGTCCTTCACATTTGCAGTATTGATAGTGAGCAGATAAAATCACCAAGGTTTTAGTCATCTGACAATTTAATAACAAGCTGTCTTTAGTATATATATTGTACAGTGCTGATAAATGATGATGAAATTTCTGCCACTTCACTGAATATTTTGGAAAATGGTATTCAAGACTTAGAATAATGACAGGCTTTTGGCTTAGACTCGGAAACTTTTGTTCTCATGGACTTTGCATATTCTGTGCCAAACCTCTTGACTTTCTCTGTGCTGGTTTTCTTGATGTAGTCAGTAGAACATACCTGACCTTGAGTTAAGTTTCTGATTAAATATTAGAATGATTGGAAAACCTCAAATGAGAAGCATGATAGCTGTTGAAAAATATTTAGTTTTTATCCTTGAGCGCCCATTTTCTTGACTCAGAACAGGTCTCAAGAAATGAAACAAATAGTCTCATTTTTGCTCCAGTGGACAGTTTCCTGAATTGCTTAACTAGAGCAGAATTGACTGGTGGTGTGGATTGAGCTAGTGAGTGGTGCTTGCTTTCTGTGAAGAGTGGTGGTGTTTTAACACTATCCATGAATGGACAAAATGTATTCATTGCTGCTCAGTTTGTTCCAAGATGGAAATTCATGACCTTGCTCCTCAGATGGCATTCCTTTGTAGTGGAAGTAGTTCAGTTACAAGCTTGCTTTGGAGAAAATGATGACAATATCCATTTTAACCTCAGTTTTTTTGTTGTGGGTTTCCCCCTGCCCCCTCCCCATATTCCTTGACATATATGAAAAATGGATGTAGAGGGAAAGTTACATATACAAATTTCATTGAAGTACTACCGAGCTTAATCTATAAAGCAATCCAACTTGCCCTAATATCTAATACACATTATAATTACTTTTTGTGCTTTTCCTTTCATGAGTAATCACAATCAATTTACTGAAAATGTGTTTTGCTGGAGTGTGTTCAGGAATTGCTTTGCCTACAGACATCCAAGTTGCCATGACACTGCTTCAAAGATGTCTTTAGTTTTCTTTATTCTTGTAGATCCACTGTAGCTTGTAATTGCAGTAAATGACAAACATATAACTATCCAAAAAACTGAGGTCCACCAATAGGTTCCAGAAGTGAAGATTTGTTTTAATTTGTTAAAACCCTGGAAGGAAAGGGATGGGATTTCTCCTTAATATAACAAGTATATCACTGGTTCTGAAAACTTGAGACTTCCAGAACACCACTAGGCTTCATACAAATTACAGCTACATAATCCAGTGTATGTTTGGTCAGGTTCATTGACCTGGCTTGCAAACATCATTCATGCTTTGCTCACGTATAGTGTGACAGGCATGTTAAATGATTTAATCTGCCCCACTTTGTAACCTGTACTCTGTTAACCTCTTTCCTAATGTGATGGAACAGAAAGTGTCCTTGTAGACTGATAAATGAATGCTGTTATGCTCTGGTGATCCACTCAGCACACATTGGTGGATGGAGAATTTGCGCACTGATCCATAAGTGATAAAGGTCAAAATAAGTGATTTTTCAGTTTATTACTTGTATCTGTCACTGAGCATCTTGTTGTTTTTTACATTTAAGATGGAACATGAGTTGTTTTAATGTGTACCTTGTCTAGGTAGGGGTTGCCTACTTACTAATTTCTAGATCAAGTAGCGATTTCTGATATTACTGGGGAGGTCTGGATTCTTCAGTCTCTCTGTTCTCTAGAGGAATATTGTACAATCATCTAAGTCTGCCTCTCAAATGGCAGAGTCGCACCACAGGGTTTGTAGCTGTTAAACCACCTTTTTTTTCTTTTTATTTTCTTTTATAATGTTCCCCTATGAACCTTGCTCTCCCAGGCTGTTAGGACAGTATGCTACTTCTCTACCTGTCTGTCTCATCTTAACGTGTTTCAGAGCCCTGGGGCTGAGGACGTGGTTCTTCTGGCAGCTTCTCCTTTTTAGTACAGTCCCATCTTTACAATGTGATTAAGGCTGCCTTATGTTCCCCCCTGTGCTATGTGTGCTGCTAGTTTGAAGTTAAGAATTCTCTTTGAAACAGATTCAATGTTTTCAGGCAATTTGTGTGCATTAATTGTTTCCAAGTTGAATGGTTGAAGGAAGTTAGTAGTCTCTATGAGTCCAAAACTGTCAAAAATATACTCCCTCACCCATGAAGCTTAGGTAGATACTAACCCAGTGCTAGATTTTGTAAATCAAGAATAAGCAAAAAAAGGGGGAAGTAAGAATTGTGTTCCATATTTCATACAAAGATATACAGAAGGCATAACTAGACTTTTGTCTAGAGAAGTCATAGAATGGATTTATCCCCACCCCCCCACCCCCCCAAAAAAGAAGAAATGGACGTGGTTTTGTCTAAAGAAAAGAGGTTTGTATAGTCTTTTGCTAAAAACAGGAAGTTATATTGGCATTCTGCTTTTTAGGACTTTTTTGAAAGGGAATGAAAAGAAACTAAAGTGTTTTTCATCAGTGAGAGAAAATTTCTGAAGTACAGTACAAGCTGAAATTACTATTCTTTTTGAGATTAATAAATTACCTTTGGTTTATGTTTTTGTTTCAAAAGCTGCACCCATCCATTTATTTAAGTATGGCTCAGATAACTTAGTTTTATATATATCAAAAACAGTTTGACAGGCCAAGCAGTTAAAGGTTTTGTAAAAGCTTTTAGAGTTCAGTTGATTGCTACCAAAGGCAATTTGATTAGTCCACAGCCCTTATAATCACTATCATAGCCATGCTGGAAATGCTTATTTTGTAAGTATGCTCTGGAAGTCTGATTCTTCCCACTGGCAATGTAAATAGCATTGAATATTTTTTTTTCTTGGACATTTATTATAAGAATGGTACTGAAGTATCTTTTTTTGCCACCTCAGAATGAAATATTTTTCTTACCTGATCAAATGGTATGAAACCCAAAAGAGAGAATAAACCAGGTTATTGTAGTAATTTATCTCTTCCTGTTGTTTTCATTTTGCTTTGTTTTAAAAGGACTAACCAGCCGGGAATGTTCACAAAGAAAGAATTTGATCAGTTGGCTTCGGCAATAGACAGCTTCAGTCTCATGACATATGACTATTCAACACCACAACGGTAAGGCTTCATCTAACATTAGAAAAAGATTGCTGAAGGAGCTGATTCCCAGTTAAGTCACTATTAAATCTACAGCATGAGTTCATTTATTTAGTAAAGTGGACAGTGTGTTTTAACTGTATCAGATACTAAAGTTTTGGATTAGTAATTAGGATAGGTCACTTCTGAACAAGCCAATGACTCAGGACATTGTCTAACAGCAATGTATATTTGGCACCCAGATATTGTGAAAGGCTTTGTACTCAAGCTAAAAAATTATCCTTTTACTAGTTCCATGACACTTATTCTTTTCCAGGCCAGGCTGTTTTGTTTTTAGTTATTTAGCACAGTTCTGCAGGATAGGTACACGAATAATCTAGTACATGTCATTGTCAAAAAAAATAGCTTTAAAGCACAATTAACAAGTCATTTGCTTCATCCCGAGGCAGCAGACTGCCTTTTGGCAGCACTGCTAAGGTGGATATGCTTGACTTTTTGCAGTCTTTCACTAGTCCCTCCCTTGTACTGATACAGCTGCTCATGTAGCAGTTCATCAAACCAGATCAGGGAGCTGATCTGACTGAAAAATAACACAAAACTTTGCTCTTGTACATGAATATTCATTTTCAGGAACTTGAGTTTTTAACTGTGTTAAAGTGGAACAGCAATATAGTTGAGAGGTCCTTAAATTCTGCAGAGACTCTTTATGTTACTGTTCTCCAAAAGCATGGTTCATTTCACCTACAAATTGCAGCTAAGGATATGCTTTTGGAATCCCTGGGAGATTCTGTATATCTTGCTTCAAGGTGGCTGTCTGGAGTTTCTATTTGTGGTAAACTGGCAGATTTAGAAATGCCATTGTTCCTGTGTTTATTACATCACTAAAACCTTTGTCACCTGTAGTATATTAGCATTTTGATAATGTCTGGACAGGAACTTTTGTCTCTTCTATCCTTCCCCAGGCCTGTCTCTACATCTTCAAGCCTAGCTACGTAGGGGAGAAAAAACATAGGCAGTGATGTGTACTGAAGTTAGAACATTTTTTTTTGTTACTTTCCTGCTGGAATATGCAGCATAGATGTATCCAGTTTAGCTTTTCTCTAGGTAAGTCTGACATCTATGAAGATGAGGTGCTAAAGGCTTTTGTACAGACTATACAAACCCATCTGGAACCGCTTTGCATTTTGAAATGCTGTGCTGTAGGCTGGATCTTTCCTGTGTGGCAAAGCTGCAGCATGCTTTATGCCATGTTAAAATCATGTGTTCTGTTATGTGGTACAGTCACATCTTTATGCTTTCACTGGCACTTTAAGTTACTTGGAGCTGCTAACCTTTTTTACTTGAAAGGAGGAGGGAAGCATTCTTCAGTTCACACCCATTGTATTTGAAATAAATGTAGTTTCTGAGATTTACTTTTAGTCTGAGAAAGGATTTGGTAAAAAAATCAAATTTTTTTCACTTGAATTTGCTTTGATTGGTCTGACTATATGAAATACAGGATAATACATATGTTTTCTCACAATTTTTTTGCCTTTAAATATGAACACAATTTCCAGCTACATTTCTGTCCTGTATTAGCACATTGAGCTTTAATGGCACAGATATCCTGAAGGCTTTGAGGCAGATAATGAGTAGGGAGTAGATGTTGATATCTGTAAGACTAGAATATGCTTTTCCTTTTATCATGTTAGTGAGTGCCTTTTATCATGTTAGTGAGTGTTTATGATAAAGCCTGCTCTCCTCTCTGATGAGATAGGAACAGAATGAGCATGATACCCTGATACTATGTGTATGATGATTTAATTACTCTGTCTATTAAGGCTCTACTCTTTTTCTTAATGTAGCTTTCTGTTAGGTAATTGCCTATTTAGGGTTTTATCCACAAATAAGTGTTACAGTCATTGAAACCTGTCTTGCTTAACAATCATTGATTTTATAGTTCTTTCTGTAAGTAAATGGTGGATTTTGTCCCAGTATGTTGTGCCAGTTTACAGTAAAAACACCGAGGATAGTATTGGAAAATGACTGAAGTCATACAGAGTTTTGAATTATTGTGTGGGCATTATGCCAGGCCCAGTGACAGAGAAAATGTGCTAGGTGGAAACCTTTTCTAACCCACTGTAAGAAGTTTTGTGTCCCTTCACCTTAGAAATGAATCGCAAAGTCAAGAGTGGGGCAAGCATGTTTTGTGCATCAGTACTTCAAGCCACTGAAGAATGTGCATTTAACCTTCATAGGACTGTAGGTTAACCTTCACTGATTTTTGTGTGCCATAATTTGCTCTTTACAATTACACTAGTCAAAAAGAGAAGGCTGAGAATGAATGAGTATTTTTTCTGACAACCTGTTTGCTTTTTGCTAACTTGACAGACCTGGTCCGAATTCCCCTCTTCCCTGGGTACGAGCATGTGTTCAAGTACTGGATCCTGATTCAAAATGGAGGAATAAAATACTTCTAGGGCTGAATTTCTATGGCATGGACTATTCTGCTTTGGGAGCCTCTGGGGAACCAGTCCTTGGTAACAGGTAAGACTTCTCTGGATAGTAAGTACTTATGTATGATGTATTCTTACAAAACTCAGAAATCCACAAATATTCTTGTTTAGAAATATGGATGTATTAGTAGCATAGAAATGACAAAAGTGATAAATCTGCACGTGAAACAGTAGCTCACCAGTTAGAGTAAGACCTGTAACTTCTCTTCCTTGTACAGAAGTACAGATAGATGGCACGGTTATCCTGTCAGAACTGTGGAAAAATTATTTGTGTAGTTTTCCCTCTTTCCTCTATCCATGTCTGTACGTGCAGTTTGCCATCTTTGTATTAAAATGTTCTGCTGTATTCTCTTATGCTCTTTATCATTTTGGGGGTTCATGCAATTGACCTAAAGAATGTTCCTCTCAGCTCCTGAAGTTGTTACCTGTTGCTTTGAAATTTGATATTGGTTTCAAACAGCAATATGCCACCAAGTTTCTTTTGAGAAGAAAAAGCTGCAGTAAGCTCACCTGGAGACGTAAATCTATAGCAAGATAAAGGGAAGTATTCCAAAGCCAGCCTGCATTTTTATATTGATTCTCAGAGGAAAATGGTTGGTTTAATTTTGGGTAATAACCACCTGTAATAACAGTGAGCTTTGTAGAAATACAGTCAGGGTATAGTACAGCAAGCCAGAAGAAAAAGCAAGAAAAACAGTGAATTTGGCAGGAAAATCAGGTTTGTTCCAAAGTTTCTTACTGATTTATAAAATAGAACCAAGCCAAGTGGAAACAAAGCTAAAGCGCAAGAGGTGACTGTTCTCACTTTCACAGGTTACTAAATTCATTACACCAGGATATTTCAATATAGTAACAGATTGCTTGTTAGGCATTAAAATACTATCTGAGGTGGACTGTATATGAGGCAGGGGCCTGAATTTTTTTATGTCCATGCCTTCAGTTACACAAACACTTTGTCAGCATTGCACTTGCCTCTGCTGTTTTCCTGCTTCACCTTGGCTGTTTGCAGGGGTCTAATACTGTAGACACAGTTTTCTCCCAGTGCTGAATTGTGTCTGAATCTGGCTGAATAACAGAAAATTACTACAGGGTCAATACTGTACTACAATAAAGCCATTGTCTACAGTGAAAGGTATATAGCAATAATTGTAATGTAAGCATATTGTAAGCTTCAGTGGCAAGTCTCAAGTTGTTTGATATAAATGTAGTATGCATTTAAATTGATTATTAGTATAACTTATACATAGGATTACATGCAGAGTGCAGAAACCTTTGCTGGTCTCATGTTTGTGTTTTTCTCTGGGATAGGAATTATGTAATGAAAAGAGGCTCTGAACATAGGTAGATTTCATTCACCAAATATTTCAGTCCAAAAGTTCATAAGATAACTTTCAGTGGAATTCCTATTTCCATAAAATATTATCTGGCAGTGTTTTTTAATTGCAGAATGTAACCTAAAGGTAGAAATGCGTGGTTACCATTTTGCTGAAAAGATATACAACTTTTCCATGTAATATCCTTTTTCCTTCATACATGCCATAAAAAGTAATATGTATATGTGCTTGTGTGTGTGTATATATATATCTCAGGATTAAATTAAATGAAAACGATTTTTCTTTTACAGCACAATGTAGTTTGTCTTTGGGTGTTGTTACAGTAGGAACTACAGCTTATATTTGCAGTAACAATGTTGCAGCTTGGTCACAAGTATTATGTGTTAATACAATGAGTCAGTCTCAGAGATTATAGCACATTCTGGTGCTTTAATCAACCAAGTACCATTGTTGTTTAGCTGCAGGGAAGCTACATTCCTGTGTATATTTATTTCTGACATAATTTGTATGAAATGCTAAGCCTGAAATAAAGGTGTTCTGCCTGTGATCCCCCAGATCACCTCTAGTGTGTCTGGAAATGTTTTCTGCCCTCTGGCTGTCAAGAATCAGGTGTCTGAACTGCTAAGATGCCGTCATTAAAACTTACCACTGTATTAAAATCCTGTCAGAACATAACCGTCTGGTATTGCTGACTTGCTGCTTTAATGATCAGTTTGTTCCAGCATGTCCTTTATAGATACCGCAACCTAAGAGTATTTCTTCTTCACCTCAAAAGTATATGTCTTGGGTAAATAATTCTTCAGTACGCCCTGAAGCTTAAGAAATTGTTTAGCCTTTCGGCAGAATCTTTACCTTGGAGTCCTTTTTGAGACCTGTAGTAGCTCAGCAAGTCCCTCAGTCTCACAAGCTTCTTACTTCCGATGTACTTTTTTCACCTTTAGCTATCTGCTCTTCAGAATCTCTCTTAATTGTTGGGACATTATATTTCAGTTGCAGTAATACCCATTGTTTTCTTTTGCCTTCTCATGGGAAGTTAGACAGCAGTGCTATGGTGTTTTCCATTCCATGATATCTAAAATCTGTAGCCTTTATGACCTGGGCTGTAAGGGAACGGAAAAACTTCGTTGCTAGCTGTGAATTAAAAACAGTGTAAATCAAAGGCTATCATGTGGCAGTGGTGCCACTTACATTTAATAAATCAGCCTTCTTTATTGAGCACATCCCTGCTAAGTTTAATGTGTTAAAGACATTTTGTCCTTTTTTTGTATAGTGCTGAAAGAGGGAAGATACGATGTTCCACCTGGCTGTATATAACTTTTGAATATATTCTGCATCCAAGCTGCTTTTGTTCCAAATGTAGCTGTTGAAAATAGATATGTGAATAATTCCATTGTTGTGAGAAAATGCTGTGTGCGCTTACCTTTTATTTAAAGGAATCTGAATAGGGATTTTTATGTTAATTTTTGAACACTTAAGAAGATTGATATAATAAATTACCAGTTGAAGCAAGGGAGAAACTAATTTGACAATGCATTGTGCTATTCAGAGATAGAAAGTAAGATGATTTGCAAGCTATGTAGGATGTAGAGTTCTACTGAGAATTTTATTGGCTGTCTGCCATTCTGTAAATAGCAGGTAATTAAAAGTGGTACTTAGAAACAGTTAGAGGTGAGCTTTTTCCCTGAATTACCATGGCAGTGTCTTTATTAGCAGCAATTTAAGAAGCTTTGGGCCAACTGTGACTCATGATTTTGTCTTACAGAAGGTAGCAAAAACCTTGCTTAAGGGACGCTTTTACTCTTGCAGCTTCAAGTCTTTTACAACATTTCATGCTGTAATTCTCTCAGGTTTTCCATTACTTCCTGGCATACCAGGATTCTGTCTCCTGATTTAATCCGTTTTGCTCCTAGCTTATGTAACATTGGGGAGATACTAATATTTCAAATAAACTGATGGACCAATTAGCTCTGTAGGATTGAATATCCTCTTGATCTGTTGTCCACCTCTCCGCTTCATTGGAGAAACTGTTAAGCTCGCTCTTCTTAAAATGTACTGCTGGGTCAGATGGTAAAATCATGGCAGTGATAGGAAGAAGTTGTGATTGGGCCTGGAATCAGAAAGAAGTTATTTCTATATCACAAATGTCGTAAGTAATTCAGGAGTGTTTCAAGAGGTTTATTCTATTAAATTTCCTCTGGGATATTCTGTTATGTGTGGCTTCCATGGTATATCTGTCCCTTCCTCCCTTTAGGAATGGAAGGTGAGCATGAGCTGTTAGCTGAAAGACTAGTTAATTCATATAAAGTAGATAGAACATCTTACAAAGTAAAATTATTATGCTATTTCAGCTTGTCCAAGTTGTAAATATGATGTTAAATATAAAAACTGTTATAATTGGGTTTTATGTGAAACACATTCCTTATTTCCTTTGAAATGAGGGAAAGGTGGCTTGTCTTTATTACGCAAATGATTGGTTCTGAAGTTCAGTTGTACAATGGCATATTGGCTGTGGGTGAGTGTGTGTATAAGTTAGTGCATCTGTTTTAAAAAAAATGTAGTCAGTTGTGACATTTTGATGGTGGGCATATTGCTGTGAAATGTGGTCTTTGTCTCTCAGGATCTTTTTTAATAGGAAATTTGCTACAGGCAATAGTTAGTCGTCAAATGTTGACAAAATAATAATGATACAGTTCTTTATTGTCTCGTTGTTGTACTCTAACCATTAGAAGATAGCATGACGGAATTGGGAAAAATAGTTTTGTGGTTTAAAACAAACAAAGGGAAGAGCTAGAAACCTTTACTGTAAGCTAAATTTACTTACATTCATAGATTTGTGTGTGGGTGTCTGCACCTAGTGTAAAGTGAAAAAAACTCATTGCTTTGGAAGCCTTATTTGGGCTTGTGAGATCACTGGTGGTGGATCACTAAAACCACTACTAGCCCTGACCGAGTATCTTCAAATATATGGTGATTAACAAACAGCATAGAACAGGTAACACTATGTGTGTATACAGATTCCTCTGCTATCAATCCCTTAGCTGCCATTGCCCCATCCTCTCTCATGCTCAATGATGAAAGGATAATCATAGAATCATAGAATGCTTTGGGTTCGAAGGGGCCTTTAGAGATCATCTAGCCCAACCCCCCTGCAGTGAGCAGGGGCAGCTTTAACCAGATCAGGTTGCTCAGAGCCCCATCCAACCTGACCTTGAATGTTGCCAGGGATGGGGCCTCTACCACCTCTCTGGGCAACCTGTTCCAGTGCTTGACAACCCTCATTGTAAAAAACGTCTTTCTAATGTCGAGTCTGAATCTATTTTTCTTTAGTGTAAATCCATTATTCCTTGTCCTATCACAACAGGCCTTGCTA